ATATACCTTAAGTTAGATTAATTTGGTGATTACTTTAACAGTCACACTGTATTATATACTGCCTGTTATTATGACTTTATTTATTTGGTGTTTATCATTCTTCTATTATTTTAAATACTGATGTAAAAATTCTCGTAATATAAACATAACTCTAAATTGCAAAAAACAGATAAGAAAATATATTTTATGCCCTGTATAACAATATTTCCGCTTCGTTAGAAAGCCACTCGACAAGTTCCAGGCCCAACTAACCAAGAAGACGGGGATTTATCCGTCTTCTGAAAAGCAAGTAACTGTTTAAGCTTGTTATTCTCCAAGAACGATACGCCCAATTAGAAATCGATTGTTACCCCGAAGACAGTGCCATTCAATTGTCTCTCGTCCCTGGTCATTATCATTAAGGAAAGATAATTAGTCATTTCTACAATAACGTTAAGTTTCTTATCTCTTCCTGTATACTTCGGTTGGCTTATTCAAATCTAACAAGGCCATTTCGACTGCTCCTGCCTTTATTCTTCTGGTAGAATGACGACAGACGACAATGTACAACTGTTCTAGTTATCAGATTCTGATTTTGATGGATCACTTTTGAAGGTTTAATTGATTCAGATAGTCTTGTAGTTCGTACTTCTTGGATTGTCGAATCTGCTCTTTGACTTGGAAGTGGTTATAAGATATTCGTGGCGGAGCCAACCGAATCGACCTGAATTTGAAAAGTACAGAAATAGATGTTACATTAAAGACTGCATTTACATTAGGTAAAATACAATATTATCTAGGAAAACTTTCATATACTGTGAGACAAATGAATTTTGGACCCTCTCCGCCAACTCGTTTATTTTAAAGATAAAACAAATTCGTTTGGCCACGTCAATTTTTTCAACTTGTTCTAATTTTTAACAGAATAAAACTCAACCCCCATCAAATAACACACCCCCTTATTTTTTTAAATGACATAATTTAAAAGTGGCCCATTCTGCATAAAACGCGTAAACGGAATCAGCCATGTTTTAAACGGAACCAGTGCTGTTCATTGACATTTTATCTGGTGTGCACAGAAACCGGTTTAATTTATTTACGGCAACTATAGACATAATAATGCACTGTTTTATTCGTACTTTTAGTTAAAGAATAGATTAAATTATTTTTTCTACTCTCTTACTAGTAAATTGTATATTACCTACTATTTGGATGCTAAGTAAATGCATCATAACAGATACTGACACGTAATGACTAGCACGTAATAAAAAAAATTACGCTTCAGTTTTAGAAAAATGTGTAATATCACATAAGCCTCGTAAGTCAGTTGGTCGAGTTACCATGGAAACGAATTAACAGACGTTATTTTGACAGATTAAAAATTATGAATCTGTCAGTGTAAATATAGTGGTACTTTAATTTTTATTATTATAAACGAAAATAATCGTAGAAAAAGTATAGTACACACCTTGAGTTGTAAGCTTATTACATGCTTGTAAAATTACTGCGCTCGCCGCTACGCGGCTCGCGCGCAACTTTTTTACTCGCATTTAATAAGCTTCTTACAACTCTCGTTATGTAATATACTATTAAATGTACTAAATTATTAATCTCTAAAAATTTAAATTACAGTTCTGTCGTAGCTTGTCACAAATTTCTCAATTCGAGTCTATGTTTCCGTCTAAAACATGGCGATCGCGTAATGACAAACTTCAAAGGCGGCATCTGAAAGTGGGCATTCTGATTGTTATTTTTTCTATGATTATATTAAATGTTAATATAATCATAGAATTCAAGGAAATGGCTAATAAAACAAACCTCTTGTTTAATTTTGTTGAAGCCCTAAATAATAACCCAAAAAACCCCAAGTGAAAAAATTTTCTTCAAAAAATCCCCCATTCAGTGTATACCCCCAAAAAATCCCCAAGCAAGAAAAAATACCCCAAATTTGGAGAAAAATTCCCAATCAACCCTGCCTAGATACTCAAATATTTATACTTTTTGGAATATACATTGATGAATCTGTATATGATCTATTAATTTTTAGTCTTCTAATTCTTTATTCTACTGCATAAACTTTTACTTCTTGTCTTTGAAAATGAGACCACTCCCTGTGAATAGTCTCAAGACGTGATATGCCCGTTACATAAAAAAGGCGATTAGCTCTAGTGTGACAACTACAGAAGTATAATTCTGTTAACATTACAGAAAACCATTATCAAAAATAAAATCTCTCGATCAGAAATGGATGGATGACTTTCATATTAAAGTTGCACCACCAACTACAGCTACATAGATTCAACCCTATCTGACGGAAATCATTTTATATTAAAACCTTTCACACACAATGAACTAATTTTCGCTATAAATTTTCGTCAAGATATATCAGATACATTATATCAAATACTCATGCAATTAACCTTCCAGAAGTACCAAAACATTTTCTATTAGATTTTTTAAAATCGGATCATTCAAGACAATTCTGAGGTAGATTTTGTTAAAGACATCATGGTTATTCCGATTCTATAGCCTGCAGAAGATCCAATTTCAACCGAATCTTATCGACCCATTTCTCTCTTTTCGTGTGTATTTAAAACTTGAACGGATGTTAAAACATAGACTAAAATGGTGGGTCCATACCAAAAATTACTACCAAACAATCAGTTTGGATACAAACGAGGATGTGGAACTTTAGATGCTCTAGCTACACTTGTAACGGACATACAGAGTAATTTTTCTAGAAGAGAAGATTTCTAGAAATAACTATTTGACTACCTTATCTTTAGATAAAGAAGGTGCTTATGACAGTGTGTGTTTACCTCGATTAAAAGACAAAATGATCAATCAAACATGGAAAGTACACATCGAGTATAGGCTTGACAAAAGATATAAAGGTCTCAATTTTTTAAAATCAATTTTATTACTTACTTACATCAGATCCATTATGGACTATGGATGTATACTTTATGGATCAGCAAGTAAACAAATTTTAAATAAAATTGATGTATTTCAACGGACTGTTCTACGTACCTGTATGGGAGCAATGAAGTCTACTCCAATAGCTCCACTGCATGTTGAAGCTTAAGAACCTCCTTTAAATTTTAGACGAGATTATCTTAGTGAAAAATTTGTAGTAAACATTTCATAATATATCAATAATTCCTCATATTCTGGCATGAGTTCACTAAATACAAATGATCTAACAAACAGTTAATGGACTCATTAAATTCACCAACCCTTTGCACTGCCTTTAGAGCCATGTGTAACAATAAGTATACCAACAGTATTACCAACCTTGAAGCTGACACACATACATACACATATACCTTACCTGACATACTAATATATAATAGTACTCCATTACTAGATTCATGCATCTTAAATTCTTATATAAAAAATTTAAAAAAAAAAGTTAGTCTTCGTAAGTGGGTATATTTATTGTTATCAAAACCTATGGATTTAAGTAATAAATCATATGTTACCTTAAGCTTACAGTTTATAAAATTAAGTTTTCCGTAATGGTTGCAATCTCCTTCTTTAAGATTTTAAGTTGAAAAGTGTTCCTTAAGGTGGTTGGAACATTTCCTGGTGTTTTAATTCTACAAAAGGTAGGAAAAACTTTGTAGTTGATGCATTGTGAGATGAACCATATATCCAACTTGAGTGTAAATCTTTTAGTGGCTAAGCGCATGTATTGAAAAGCCAAGTTGACCATACCGTCAATTAACAAAATCCATAAGGAAAACAATTCCTGTAGCTGGCTGTATACCACGTATCACAAAAAAGAGGTTAGTCTTAGTGAGACTAAATATACCCACTGCCTACTCCCTCTGAGGAGTAGGCAGATTGAGACCTCAGTGCCGACAGTTCTTGTATTTATAATACAGAACACGATACTGGTACGTTTCGAGTGAGGGGAGTAGGCAGATTGAGACCCCGCACTCGAACCGAACCGTATCCCTCTTGATAATGGCTCCAATATGGGAGCCGAAACGTCGAGCATTCAATTCTCAACGCGGTTCTTCCCGAGAACCTAGTGATTTTCATATATATATATATATATATATATATAATATATATATATATATATATAATATATATATATATATGTTCGGAAAGATACAATAAAACCTAGAGCTGAGATTAATATTTTACTAAAATTAATATCAAACTCACCAGTCTTTCGGTTGAACCGCGTCGATAATCCATTATATATATAGTATATATATATATATTATATATATAAATATATAATATATAAATATATATATATTATATATATATATATAAATATATATATATATATATATATATAGTATTATACAATGAATATACAACAACTTTATTGAGATTGAGATTTGGCCACGCTTCGCATCCTGCTCATCTTGCTCAAATCAAAATATACAATTCAGACTTATGTGAATATATTCTGAATTAGTAAGTTGGCAATGGACAGATTATTTTTCGTAGCATACCCTAGATTTGTAAAAAACAAATTTTCAAATCGAATGGTATGTATTAACAAGAAAGTGTTGAAACAAAAAAGTTTTGATTAAAATTAAAATAAAAGTCATAATAGTTATGCCCTACTTAACACGTTTTTGATATGTGTAGTATTAAGCATACTACAGTTTAATACTGTAGATATGGATTTGATATGATAAAAATAAAAGCCAAGAGAGAAATTGGTCGTAAAAAGCTCTCGATCGAGAAGTTTAATAACATTGACATGGATCAACGCTTAAACACAGTGACGAAAGAGAGAACACATTACTTATAAAATTCAATGCAAAGGGATAAATGATCTTGAGATAATCGGTCTTATCAGTAAAAGTGACCATTACAATTACTAGCCTCTTTAAAGATGACGGTACCTTTACAAAATTTAAAAAAACACAATTTATTCCGTTTTTGTAACTTTCTCCAACAAAAAATATCTATAATCAATTAATTTTTAACAAAGTCATGAAATATTTGTATAGTACTTTAAATCTGACGTAAAAGAAAATTGTAGTACTTACCGACGGTGGTGAGCAGCATGTTGTCCAAGAGGAGTGCGATGGCGACAATGACCAATACGAGGCGGCGCGACTCCCGGCATCTTTGCACCCACCCCCCGAATTTCGTCCCCCGCCATCCATTCGTTCACCACAGTCATCTTAGTTCTTTCAGTAGACGACAATTATCTACGACAATAAATATATTTTATTAATGATACTTTATACACTTTACAAACACGTTTTTAATATTAAAATTTTTATTATAAATCATTAATTAATTGTTGCTACCAACAAGTCCTTCCAGACACTTCGTCCAAGGATTAGCAACCTCAGTGCAATGTGATCAATTCCTACATTGCCATGTGATGTGACTTTTTACTCACACATTTAGTGGCTTCAAACATCCAGATAGCACTTCGATGGAATAGTTATTCCGAAAAGTTTTGAGATATAGCCCGATACGATTTTTTGTTAACATACCTCTTATAAAGGAAAAAAATTATCTTAAAATTATTCGCCAAAGTATCGGACATCTCAAAAGAAATTTGACGAATTTAGTGCAATATTGGGCAAATTAAATATGGATTTTGATTTTACAGAATTGACCAAAGCATTTAAACATAATTTCATACATGATAAATCATTAAAAATTAATAAAATATACGAGCCCTTTGCCATGCCAATAGGCCTACCTATGGAATTTGCAGGTTTAAGTTTTTTTTAATGTCCTTGGCATAGCCCATTGACCAGACTATTTTGTAATTTATATTCACAGAACAACAATTAGAGTTCGAGTTAGTACTAAATGTAAATTAAAAGTAAATTAAAGAATTGACTTATTTTGACTGTTCTTTTTTGGTTTGTTTGTGATTTTTTTTAAATTTTTTTTTATTTTATTTTTTTTTTATTTCCTTGTATTACTTTTTTGATATTGTGTGTAATTTATTATATTTTGGTCTTTTATAATATAAAAATAATATTATTAATTTTGTTTTACATATTTTTTTTATTTATTTATGTTTTTTCTTTCTTTTTTTTCTATTTTTTTTCATTTTTTCGTAATAAAAGGTTTATTACATGATTGATATGTTCGTAAATTCCTTACAAGTTTCATCTTAATTCTATGGTTAGTACGGTATAAGTATAATATATTGTTTAAAGTTTATATTTAGAATTTCTTATTAACTGATAAACACAATTAAAGATTTCTAAGTTTCCAGAGAAAATTAATTTATTTATGTGAAATGGGAAACAGACATTTAGTTTTCGTAAGTTTTCATAAAAACATGTAATATTTCCTCGTTGGTTTACACATTCTAATAGGATTTGTTTTAAACGTTCCATATTTACCGCAAGTACAAATTGGAGTGTCTGCTAGATCCATTTTGTACATTCTTGAAGGTGTTAGAGCATGATTTGACCTTAGCCTATTAATAGTTTTAATAAAACTTCTGTTGGACTCTGAATAAAACCACCTTTTTTTAAGAAGTGTGGGTTAACAATATTTAAATGATGACTGTCTTTTGGATTCTGTATAATTGGCTTTCCATTTTAATTTGAGCCGATGATGTTTATTATATACATCTATATCTGACACCAGTAGAATATTGTTGTTTATGGTTTCTCCACTTGATAATGCTTCTTTTGCCAAATCATCTGCTATTATATTACCCTTTATCCCGGAATGACCTTTGATCGATGCGATAATAACTTCTCCTCCGAGCTTTGAAATTAAGATGAGTCAGTTGCTTAGATTTATTTGTGACACATAATCTTTCTACTGCACTTTTACTGTCTATAAATATTACACAGTTCCTTTGTCAAAGCGTGAGAAAGAGCAAACTTTAAACCCAGCATTTCGGATGTGTAGATGGAGGCTTCATCAGGTAAGTTATATTTATGCTGTTGTCCAGAATACGATTGGTATACTGCGCAAGCAGTGATGTTTAAGTTGATTCTTCTTCTTCTTAATCAGTATGTGACCAAAATAGCTCATTTTCTTTCTTTATAGTGGTAAGTACTTCTTTATCTTTTTTCATTGTTCGTAGCGTTTCCACATTTGTTATGTGTTGTGTCCAAGATATTTTCCACATTCTTCGATAACACTACAGTTGCCCAGACGTCAACTCCATGCAACAGGACAGAGAACACGTAGCATCTCAATACTCTAGTTCTAATTTCAATGTTGAGTTTTTTTATTGTATAATAATTGCTTCCATCTTATTAAAAGCACTTCTAGCTATCTCAATACGCCGTTTTATTTCCGTACTTCTGTGCGATATCTGTGCACTCTGCCTAAAAGTTTTCTTTTAGCATAAACACTGTCTTTCCCAATATTGTTCTTGCTTACCACCATGATTTTTGTTTTATTTGTATTCAGTGCCATTCCATACCATTTGGGTAATACCTCCTATTAGATAATACGATCAACCAAGATCTGTACTCCTTCTCTGCTGTCCGCAAGGAGTAGTGTGTCATTTACGTATCTAAGATTATTTAGAAGTGCTCCGTAATAAATATGCCTTCATTTACGTTTTCTAATGCATCTTTAAACAATTCTTTCAATTACATAATAAAAAGTAAAGGGAAAAGCACACGTCCTTGTCTGACTCCACGATTTATAGTATTTCTTTCGATTTTTGTTGGTCTATTCGTATTATGGCTTTCTGATATCGGTATAGGTTGGCAATGATTCTCACATCTTTGTCATCTAATTCTGTGTTCTGCAGTATTTTTGCCATTCCTCGGTGTTCTACTTTGTCGAAAGCTTTTTCAAAGTCGACTAGACATATGAATACGTCGCTCGATTAGTGTTTGTACAGTAAATAATGCTTCTCTGGTGCCAAAGCCTTTTCTGAATTCCAATTGGTTTTCAGCTAATTGTCCTGTGCTCTTCACACTTTATTGCGTTTGATTTTTTGGTTATTGGAATGAATATTGATATTAAGCATTCTTCCGGAATCTCTTCCGTATAATAAATGTCATTAAATAATTCTTTTATTTTAATATGATTTTTTATTAGTATTCTTAAGATTTCTGTAGCTATTTCATCTGGTCCCATGGCATTCTTATTTTTTGTACGTTTTAATCCTTTCCCAGTTTCGTCTTTGGTGATTGGTGGCTTATTTCTTCGTCTTGGTTCAATGACCTCAATTTTCTCGTCGTCTTGAATAGCTTCGTCGTCTTTTATGTATACTTTCCATCTGTTTATTTTATCTGTCATCATCATCCAGCCTCAAGAGTCCACTGCTGAACATAGGCCTCTTCCTCATGTTTCCAACCCCGTCTCTGTGACTCTCAGTTTGGTAGCTGCTGCTTTTGTCAAGGTAAGTGTTTCTGCTCCGTACGTCAAGACTGGGAGGACGCACTGATCAAATACCTTTCTCTTTAGGCATGTGGGCAGCTCACTTTTAAAAGTTTCTCTCAGTTTTCCAAATGCTGCCCACCCAAGGCCGACTCTTCTCTTCAGTTCATGAGTCTGGTTATCTCTGCCAATCATAATTTCATGTCCCAGGTATTTATATCTATCTACGAGTTCTATTTCTTTCCCACCAATACTGATGTTCTGGTTGGGCACCAAATTGGTCATGATTTTTGTTTTCGAGATATTTATATTTAAACCTACATTTTCTGTAGCCACAATGAGTTCCTGTACCATCTCTCTTGCCATTCCTAGATCTTCAGCTATTATAAGTATATCATCGGCGAAACGTAAGTTGTTTAGATATTCTCCATCTATTTTTATTCCCTTTGTCATCCAATCCAAATTCTTAAAAGCATGTTCTAGCACCGTATTAAAAAGTTTAGGTGACATTGGGTCTCCTTGTCTAACCCCCCGTTCTATTTTTATGCGATTACTGTTAGTATGTAATTTGACAGTGGTTGTTGCCTGCAGGTATATTTTGTATAATAATTTAGTATATCTATAATCTAGCCTGCATTCTTTAAGCGCCTGTAATATTTTGCTTAGCTCAACTGTGTCAAAGGCTTTGTGAAAATCGATAAATATTAGAACTAGAGGTTTATTGTATTCCACTGCTTTCTCTATTAGGGTTTTTATACTTTGTAGATGGTCATTTGTTCCGTAACTTTTTCGGAATCCTGCCTGTTCCCTTGGTTGATAAGTCTCTAATTTTCTTTCCATTCTCTTAACTAGTATTCGCGTAAACAACTTATATATATGGCTGAGGAGGCTAATTGGTCTGTAATTCTCTAAATTTGCTTTGTCTCCTGCTTTGTGTAATAGAATCATAGTAGCGTTGTTCCAGTCTGTTGGAATATTGGCGCTGTGAAGGCAGATATTGAAAAGTTGTTTAATTTTTTCAAGTAATACATCCCCTCCAATTTTTAGTGCTTCTGATACTATTCCATCTTTACCCGGGGTTCGATTATTTTTCATTTTCTTCAGGGCTTCTTTGATTTCTGATTTTGTTATATTGGGCATTAAATTTGATCCTTGTTTTAATACCCCAGTTTTTAGTGTAATTGGAGGTTCCGTATTGTTATCTTTTTTTCTTGATCTATATAACTCTGTGTAGAACTCTTCGACTATTCTTAATATTTCATTCGTTCGTTGTTTCTTCTCCAGTTCTGTTTCTCAGTTTGTTAATTTCTATTTTCCCCTTTTGTACGCTTCTCTTCAAAACTTTCATGTTCTTATTTTTCTCTATTGCCTGTTTTGTTTTTTTCTACATTGTAGTTTCTTATGTCTTTTCTTATTGCCTTGTGATCGTCTTATTTATTTGATTTATCGCTTCTTTGCTTGCAGTGTTATTTCCTTTTATTTGTCGCCTTAGTTCTATAAGGGTTTTCGTGGTTTGATTCAGTTTTTCATCTTTTTTGCTTGTCGGACAATATTTAGTTTGAGCCTGTTGCATTGTCTTGTACATTTTATCTGTACATTCCGGTATTATCTTTTATTTTTATCCATGATATTTCCGATACCCTTCTTTTTGTATATGCGAGATGTCTCTTTGATTTTTCGGTGTATGTTAAAACTGTCATGTTGTTAATGTAACCTTTCTATTTCTTCACACTTTTCTGATAGCCACAGTTTCTTAGCTTCTTTGATTTTCTGTTTGCTTATTTTATTAATTTTTTTGTACTGTTGTTCGTTTTTACTCTTCTGTGCCCTTCTTTCCGTCATCAGTTCTTTAAT